TTTGAAAAGCAGAGTTACAGAGAGAGAGAGAGAAATCTTCCATCCGCTGGTTCACTCCCCAAATGGCTGCACCGGCGGGCCATCTTCCACTGCTTTCTCAGGCCATAGCAGAGAGCTGGATCGGAAGTGGAGCAGCCGGGACTAGAACCGGCTTCGTATGGGTTGTCAGCACTGAGGGCCGGGGCTTTAACCTGCTGTGCTGCAGCGCTGGGCTGAGACATCTGGGAGTGGTTCGTGAGTTGAAGGCTCTCAGACCCTTGGCGCAGCCTTTCCAGCCTTGGGTGGGCACAGGGAACAGTCAGAGTGGCATTGCTTAGGGGTCCAGCGACGGTGGACACTACAGCAGGGCCACATGCTGGACTGTGAACGGGGCTGGACGTGAGTGCATTCAGGGCTGTGGGAGAGACAGTCGCACAGTGAGGATGTGCCTGCCGGGGCGAAAGCACCCTTAGCTGCTGCTGCGTCGGGTGAATTACTCAGCCCTGTGTTACGTGACGGGAGGACCGCGCAGAGTGGTCAGGAAGGCTGGACGTGCAGGTGCTTGTGAAGGGTCAGTGTGGTGCCTGCCGTGCATGGGAGCTGTGTCCCAGGTGGAACCGACGTGTGCCAGTCTGTATCAGAGGTTCTGTTGCACTGCAGGGACACACTCAGGAGTGATCCTCTTGGGTGAGTGCGGTTCAGGGAGAAAATGTCAGTCTGTCTTGGATTCTTTTTTTTCTTTTTAAAGATTTTATTTATTTGAAAAGTCAGAGTTACACAGAGAGAGAGGAGAGGCAGAGAGAGAGAGGGAGGTCTTCCATCCACTGGTTCACTCCCCAATTGGCTGTAATGGCTGGAGCTGTGCCAATCCGAAGCCAGGATCCAGGAGCCTCCTCCGGGTCTCCCATGAGGGTGCAGGGGCCCAAGGACTTGGGCCATCTTCTACTGCTTTCCCAGGCCACAGCAGAGAGCTGCATTGGAAGTGGAACAGCTGTGACTCGAACCAGCGCCCATATGGGACGCCAGCACTGCAGACGGTGGCTTCACCGCTATGCCACAGTGCTGGCCGCTGTCTTGGATCTTGCTGTGGGCGTGCTACGTGCCCACTTGGGGGGGGCTGGGCACCTGCTCCCTGTGGAGCTTCCTCTCCAGCTCTGAACTCTCCCTTCTCCCGCCGTCACTCTCCATGTGCCACTGTACCCCGAGCCCCTCACAGGCGGGTGGGTTTCCGCACTCTGTTGAGCTGCTTCAGTCCTTTCCCCTGCTAGTGCTTGCCCCAAACCTTGAGGTTTTGCTCCCTGGAGTTTTGGTTTCCCATGAAGGTACAGGGCCCCAGCAGGCCATCTTCCATGCTTTCCCAGGCCATAGCAGAGAGCTGGGTCAGAAGAAGAGCAGGTGGGACTCAAACCAGCGTCTGTGGGATGCTGGCAGGCCGTGGCTGCAGTGTGGGATCTCTGCTCTGGGGGGGGGGGGTACACGGGTGGGATTTGCTGTGTTCTGCATGGACAGAGGCTGTGGGGTGCACGGGAGGCTCCTTTCCACTGAGGTGTAGGCCTCTCGTGGTTTAGGGACGCTCTCACCGTGTCCCTGGACGTGCGCCGTGGAGGCGATGCCTGGGCTGGCTGTGGCTCAGGGGTGCAGCTCGCTCTGCGGCTAGGGCGAGTGAGTGGGCGGGGGCCAGGGGAAGCCTGCCTGCGTGGGACCTGGCTCCACCCCGGCTCCACGGGTGTAGGCGGGAGTCCTGCTGCTAGAAGGCCGAGGTGGCCTTGCAGCTGGAGCAGTGCCAGAGCTATAAATAGCTGTGTGTGTCCAGAAGCAGAGCGCCAGGGCGGGAGGGGGCAGGGAGGCCCTTGGGTCCCCAGCTGGCAGCAGAGCCAGCCTGCGGTGCGGCAGGGGCCGGAGCGTCACGTGGGGCTCTGAATACAAAGCTCTGGCAGGGCTGGGGGCCACACAGGGGTTTGCATTGTGAGCGATTGCCACAGGCAGCAGCAAGCCGCCTGGTGCTAGCAGAATGGCTGGCGGGCCAGGCATTGTTCTCAGCTAACTCGCTCATTTCTTGCCACAGCCCTGGGAGGCATGTGCCATCACAATCCCGTTCACAGAATGGTTAGGGGCGTGCCAAGGGTCACGCGGCTGGGCAGTGTCCGCAGGAGTGGAAATGTGGTCTGCTCACGGCCACCGTTTGTGGGTTGCCTGTGGGGAGATCTGTTCAGACGAGGATCTGAGGAAATCCTGAGCCTTGCCCGTGACCTGGAGCCTCAGCCCTCTCCACAGGGTCCTGTCCACGGTCGTGACTGGGCGCGTCCCTGGTCACTCTGTCCGTTGGCCTCCTTGGCTTGGCTCCTGATCCTGCTTGCTGCCGGAGTCTGAGTGGGGCTGGAGACCGCCGAGGATGCCGGGGCCGGCTCCTGCGCCCTGCTTCCTCGCTCTGACCCGCTCGTCTGTCTCCGTGTGACCATCATTCTACGCTTGCGACTCTGGCAGAGGTGCTCCGGAGTCTGCCGTCACCTGTCCGGTGGGGGTGGGGTGGGGTGGGGGGGCGTTTAGAAAGCAGTTGTCGGGCCCATTCCCAGTGTGTTACGTCAGGCACGTGTTCAGCGGCAGGCGTGTAGCCTGGTAGTTAGGATACCTGTGTCCACGCTGGAGGGCCTGGGTGATTCCCAGCTCCTGCTGCTGACTCCAGCTCCCTGCAAACGCAGGCCCTGCAGGCAGCAGTGAGGGCTCAGTGATGGGGCTCTTGCCACCCACGTGGGAGGCCCGGGTTGCATCCTGGGGTTGGCCTGGCCCCGCCCTGGCTGTCACGGGTGTTTGGGCAGTGAACCAGCAGGTGGGGATTCTCCATAAAAGGAGAAAGACAGGATCAAGAGGTCTGCGCATTTTTGTTTTCAACTCCACAAATGTTCATTCTTAAAAAAAAAAAAAAATTTGTTTGAAAGGCAGAGTTACAGAGAGGGAGACACACACACACACACACACACACACACTTCGTCTGCTGTTTCACACTTCCCAGATGGCCGCAGTGGCCGGGCTGGGCTGGGTCAAAGCCGGGCGCTCCATCTGGGTCTCCTGCATGGGTGGCAGGCTCCCAGGCGTTCGGCCATCCTCTGCTGCTTTCCCAGGCACGTGAGCAGGGAACTGGATCTGAGTGGAGCAGCCAGGACTCGAACCTGTGTTCATATGTAATGCTGCCATCCGTATGTTCACATCATTTTCTCTTGGGGTTATTTTTGGTCCTGTTATTTGTACCCTTTGTGGATATCTGAAATGCTCCTTTAGTCAAGCAGGGCAGTTAGTTAGCCAAAGACGATGGTAAGTCAGGTGGCAAGGGCAGCCCAAGGGCCGATGGAAGCAGAGAGGCCCTGCACCCCTGACTTTGGTGCTGCTGCTGGTGGGCGGGGCCTGTGGGCCTCCTAGGTGCTCGCCTGGGTGCTGCCCCTGGTGTTTGCCCGGCCTTTGGTCTCCCGCCCCACCTGCTCCCCTCTGGGGTCCCCCTAAACCTTAGGCTTGAGGAAGGGCCGCCCTGGGGCCTCCTGGGGGAGCCAGAATGCTCTCCAGCATGAGCCTCTCTGTGGACCTGAAGTCCTCCCGGGCTGAGACTGACATCCAGCTACCTGGCCGCCCAGGAGGCCCTGCGTCTGCTTCCCAGGTCGGATCTAGGCCCCAGGCGCCAAGGGCGCAGTTGTGGCTGGGAACCGCCATCTGGCTGGGTAGCATCTTGAGCCCTGGGATCCAGCCTGGAGCCTGAGGTTTGCTGCCTGCCCCTGGCCGGTGCCCCTGGAAGGAGCTCCTGTAGTTGAACGGTCACTGCGGGGGTCAGGTCCTCCCCGGGACGAGCCCTGGGGCTCAAGCCCTCTGCTCACGGAGGCCACGTGGGCACGGAGAGGAGGTGGCGAAGGCCCTGGGTAGTGCGAGGTCAGGGTACTCGGGGACCCCGTCCTGGCTGTGCTCTGGCTCCCCCGGGGGCCTGACTGCCACCCATCCCTCCTCCTTCCTGGGGTGGGGTGGTTGCAGGGGGAGACCCGCCCAGCCGGTGCCAGGCCACTGGCCACAGCAGGCCTGAGACGTGGGGAGGTTGGCTGGGTGGCTGGTGCAGGCTTCCTCTTGGTGCCCACAGGGGTGCCAGCGTGAGGCCACACCTGCCCCTGCCTCCCAGGTCACGGGCACCCGCTGAGGGGCTGTGGCAGGCTTCTCCCACTGGCTTCTTCCCGTTGCAGGTGGTGGACCCGTTGGGGCCAAGGGCAGCTTTGGGGCTGGGGCCTGGAGTTGTTGTAGGGTGGGTCTGGTGAGTGAGGCCACGCTGGGAGGGAAGCGTCAGAAGGGGCAGATGGCGGTTTAGTGCTTGGCCACTTGGATGGACGGTGCCCAGGAGGATGACCTGTGACTGTGGCTCAGCCAGCTCCTTCCCGCCGAGTCGCACGAGGCGCATAGCCCCTGCGATCCTGGCTGCTGACTTGGCTCTGTGCGATGTTCTCTGGCCTGGGTGTGATGGCTGCACAAAGAAGGGACGGGGGGCGGGGGGAGGCTGCACGTAGAAGGGACGGGGGTGGCGGGGGGAGGCTGCACTTAGAAGGGACGGGGGGCGGGGGGGGCAGTTCAGGTGTGGTCCCCAGGTGTGTTCCAGAATGACCAGAGACAGAGAGGGTGGTTACTAATGCGGATTCTGCCCCCATGCCCCTGGGACAGGGCTGGCCTGGGAATAGGCGTCTTCAGTAAACACCGCTGCCTGAGCCCAGCCCACCCGCGGAGGACCAGGGCGCTTCTGTCTTGCCCTGGGGTCTCCCCATTTCTGCGGCTGCAGTGGCGTCGGTCTGGCCCGCTGCTTGGCACCCTTCTGTGGCGTCGGCTTCCTGCCTCCTCCCCCTTGCTTGGGCCTGGGGCAGCTGCAGTGGCTGGTGGGCTCTCAGGAAGCTGGGAGGTGGGGTGCGCAGGGGTCCGTGAGCCCACTCTGGCGCCTCCCTCTGGGAGCAGACGGTGGGGCCGCAGTGCTGGGTGTGCTCAGGTCTCTGCCCCCTGGGCTGCAGGCTCTGGGCGCGGCGAGGCCGAGACGCGGGAGTGCATCTACTACAACGCCAACTGGGAGCTGGAGCGCACCAACCAGAGCGGCCTGGAGCGCTGCGAGGGCGAGCGGGACAAGCGGCTGCACTGCTACGCCTCCTGGCGCAACAGCTCCGGCACCATCGAGCTCGTCAAGAAGGGCTGCTGGCTGGACGACTTCAACTGCTACGACAGGTGCGCCCGCTGCCCCACGCTGCCCCACGCTGCCCGCCCCTGGCTGCCATCGTCCCCATGAGCTGCTGGGAAGGCCCTGCCTGGGGAGGGGCGTGGCCAGGCGGGCTGGGAGTCCTGCGTGCCTGGCTGAGGAGGTCTGGAAACCTCTGCCCCAGGCAGGAGTGCGTGGCCACCGAGGAGAACCCCCAGGTGTACTTCTGCTGCTGCGAAGGCAACTTCTGCAACGAGCGCTTCACCCACCTGCCAGAGGCCGGCGGCCCGGAAGGTGAGGGGCTGACCCAGCCGCGCGGGGCTGTCCTCGGCCTGGGGCGATTGGCTGCTGAGCTGGGTGGGCGTGGCAGCAGCCCCCCCCCAGGTGTCAGGGCGGGCGGGCTGTGTGACGCAGGGCTCCATGTGTCCCCCAGTCACGTACGAGCCACCCCCGACAGCCCCCACCCTGCTCACGGTGCTGGCCTACTCGCTGCTGCCCATCGGGGGCCTGTCCCTCCTTGTCCTGCTGGCCTTCTGGATATACCGGCATCGCAAGCCTCCCTACGGCCACGTGGACGTCCATGAGGTGAGACGGCGGGGCGGGGCCGGGCCGGGGCAGGGGAGAGGCGCGCAGCTGCGCAGGCCCACCAAGCTGTGCTCGTCCCCAGGACCCCGCGCCTCCCCCGCCGTCCCCTCTGGTGGGGCTGAAGCCGCTGCAGCTGCTGGAGGTCAAGGCCCGGGGGCGCTTTGGCTGTGTCTGGAAGGCCCAGCTCATGAACGACTTCGTGGCCGTCAAGATCTTCCCGCTCCAGGTGAGTGTTCCAGGGGCTCCAGGGCGTCCACGGCCACAGAGGCTTCCGCGGAGCCCCAGGCCCGGGGCCTCGCTGGGAGGCTGTGCTCAGCCCGGCCTGCAGGGACAGGCCCGGCTCTGCTTCCCAGGCTTTTCAAAAGTAGTATTTATTTATTTTTTGAAATATTTATTCACTTGAAAGGCACAGTTAGAGAAAGTTCTTGCATCTGTTGGTTCACCCCTCAAATGGCTGCAATGACCAGAGCTGGGCCAGGCTGAAGCCAGGAGCCAGGAGCTTCATCCGGGTCTCCCATGTGGGTGCAGGGGCCCAGGGACTTGGGCCACTTTCTACTGCTTTCTCAGGCCACAGCAGAGAGCTGGATCGGAAGAGGAGCAGCCGGGACTAGAACCGGCGCCCATGTGGGATGCCAGCCCTGCAGGCAGCAGCTTTACCCGTTATGGCACAGCGCTGGCCCTCGGCTTTTATTTGTGACGTCAGCATCTGTTCAGAGGCCCTGGACACCAGGCAGCCCAAGCCATTGCCCGTGAGCTTAGCAGAGCTGGGCCTAGCTCTGCCTCTCGCCTGTCAGGTCTGTCCCTGGCGTCACTGTTGGCCTGGCGCTCCAGAGCTCGGCCCAGTCCTGGGCTTCTCCGGGACGCTTAGCGGACGCTGAGGCTGGGAGGCGGGGTGGGGCGGGGCTGAGCAGCCTCTCCTCCCAGGACAAGCAGTCGTGGCAGAGTGAGCGGGAGATCTTCAGCACGCCCGGCATGAGGCACGAGAACCTGCTGCAGTTCATCGCTGCGGAGAAGCGAGGCTCCAGCCTGGAGGTGGAGCTGTGGCTCATCACGGCCTTCCACGACAAGGTGAGCCACGTGAGCCACGCCGTAGGGGCCCTGGGCTGCGCTGGAGCAGGCCCGAGGCCCGACGGGGATCAGAGTGGTGACCTCCTGCTTGGCACCTGCTGACCTGGGCCGTCCTCCCCAGGCCCGGCTGGGCCTGTCCCGTCCCAGGGCCTGTGCCCAAGTTCTGTGCTGCCTTCTCTTAGGGCTCCCTCACGGATTACCTCAAGGGGAACATCATCACGTGGAATGAACTGTGTCACGTGGCAGAGACGATGTCACGAGGCCTCTCGTACCTGCACGAGGACGTGCCCTGGTGCCGTGGTGAGGGCCACAAGCCGTCTATTGCCCACAGGTACCTGGGTTAGCAGGCGCCTTCCCTGCAGTGGAGGTTGGTGGGAGGGAGGGCAGCTGCAGCCTGCTGGACACGCTTGGTCTGCTTGTGTCGTGGCAGAGGCAACTGGGCACGGGACCTGGCTTTTCTCAGGCGTCCTGGGGTGGCGTGGCCACCTGGTGGCCACAGGAGAAAGTGCTGACGCCCTCACTTGTTGGAGAGTAAGCTCAGCAGCTCTCGAATACTCTGTGTAGCGTCCCTCGGGGTAGCGTCCCTCGGGGTAGCGTCCCTCGGGGTAGCGTCCCTCGGGGTAGCGTCCCTCGGGGTAGCGTCCCTCGGGGTAGCGTCCCTCGGGGTAGCGTCCCTCAGAGTAGTGTCCCTCGGGGTAGCGTCCCTCGGGGTAGCTTCCCTCTGTGCACTAGAAAGAACTCCTGTGGGTGGGGTTCATTCTCGGCAGAGCACACACATACCCTGTCGCCTCTGGGCAGCTCCTCCCTACTCCTGAGAGAAGGAGCTTAAAGAAGGCAGCTAATGGATTGATGGGGAATGGTGATAATGGATTGATGGGGAATGGTGATAATGGGTCGTTGGGGAATGGTGATAATGGATCGATGGGGAATGGTGATAATGGGTCGGTGGGGAATGGTGATAATGGATCGATTGGGGAATGGTGATAATGGATCGATGGAGAATGGTGATAAGGGATCGATTGGGGAATGGTGATAATGGATCGATGGAGAATGGTGATAATGGATCGATGGAGAATGGTGATAATGGATCGATGGAGAATGGTGATAATGGATCGATGGGGAATGGTGATAATGGATTGATGGGGAATGGTGATAATGGATCGATGGGGAATGGTGATAATGGGTCAGTGGGGAATGGTGATAATGGATCGATTGGGGAGTGGTGATAATGGATTGATGGGGAATGGTGATAATGGGTCGGTGGGGAGTGGTGATAATGGATCGATGGGGAATGGTGATAATGGATCTATGGGGAATGGTGATAATGGATCGATTGGGGAGTGGTGATAATGGATCGATGGGGAATGGTGATAATGGGTCGGTGGGGAGTGGTGATAATGGATCGATGGGGAATGGTGATAATGGATCGATGGGGAGTGGTGATAATGGATCGATGGGGAGTGGTGATAATGGATCGATGGGGAGTGGTGATAATGGATCGATGGGGATGACTTTGACCTTGCAGAGCCTCTGGAAGAGCCTCAGGGACCTTTCAGAGTCCTTGATTTACACTTCAAAACCTTTTTTTTTTTTTTTTTTTACTTTAAAGATTGACTTACTAATTTGAAAGGGAGAATTACAAAGAGAAGAGAGATCTTCCATCTGCTGGTTCACTCCCCAAATGGCTGAACTGCTGGGGCTGGCCCAGGTCTCCCATGCAGGGGCAGGGGCCCAGGCACTTGGGCCATCCCCTGCTGCTTTCGTAGGCCATCAGCAGGGAGCTGGATTGGAAGTGGAGCAATCGGGTCTTGAACCGGTGCCTATTTGGGATGCCGACATTGCAGGCTGTGGCTTTACCTGCTGCACCACAACACTGGCCCCAATCTGCACCCCCCCCTTAAACTTATTTGAAAGGCAGACTGACAGACCAGAGAGCCGTCTTCCATCTGCTGGTTCACTCCCCAAATAACCACATCTGCCAGGGCTGGTCCAAGCCAAAGCCAGGAGCCAAGAACCTCATCCTGGTCTCCCCCAGGGGCGGTGGGCCCAGTGCTTGGGCCTTCTGCTGCTGCCTTCCCAGGTGCCTTAGCAGGGAGCTGGATCAGAAGCAGGCAGCTGACTTAGCCGGCACTCCGACGTTGGATGTGTGTGTCACGGCGGTGGCCCAGCCTGCTGTGCCACAGTGCCAGTCCCAGGCCCCGTGTGGAGTTCACTTCTGCGCCCACCTAGTGCAGGGGCGGTTCTGACACTGCGGAGCGCGGCCTCGTTTCCCTCGTCCCTGCTGTGAGGCGGGCGCTGTTTTTCTCGCCCTCTCACAGATGCAGGGGTAGTTGTGCAGTAAACTGGGCCGCTCAGAGAGCGTCAGCTAAGCGGGGTCATGATGTGGGGTCAGGGAGTGAGCCTGGAATCCGGGGTTCACAGCTGCAGCGACCCTGCCGCAGTCACAGCAGCGCCCTGAAGTTGGCCCTGTGAAGCTGCTGGTTCAGTGGGTCAGCAGGCGGCACGCTGAGTCTTCACACAGTCACGCGGTCCTGCGCGGGTGGGCGTGCCAGGCGTGACCCCGATACACAGACTCTTCACACGGTCACGCGGTCCTGCGCGGGTGGGCGTGCCAGGCGTGACCCCGATACACAGACTCTTCACACGGTCACGCGGTCCTGCGCGGGTGGGCGTGCCAGGCGTGACCCCGATACACAGACTCTTCACACGGTCACGCGGTCATGCGCGGGTGGGCGTGCCAGGCGTGACCCCGATACACAGACTCTTCACACAGTCGTGTGTGGGTGGGTGGGCGTGCCAGGCGTGACCCCGGCACACTGACTCTTCACACGGTCATGTGCGGGTGGGCGTGCCAGGCGTGACCCCAATACACAGACTCTTCACATGGTCATGCGGTCATGCGCGGGTGGGCGTGCCAGGCGTGACCCTGGTACACTGACTCTTCACATGGTCATGCGGTCATGCGCGGGTAGGCGTGCCAGGCGTGACCCTGGTACACTGACTCTTCATATGGTCATGCACAGGTGGGCGTGCCAGGTGTGACCCCGGCACGCTGACTCTTCACACGGTCATGCGGTCATGCGCGGGTGGGCGTGCCAGGCGTGACCCCGGCATGCTGAGTCTTCACACGGTCATGCACGGGTGGGTGTGCCAGGCGTGACCCTGATACACGGACTCTTCACACAGTCGTGCGTGGGTGGGTGGGTGTGCCATGTGTGACCCCGGCACACTGACTCTTCACACGGTCATGCACAGGTGGGCGTGCCAGGTGTGACCCCAGCACGCTGAGTCTTCACACGGTCGTGTGCGGGTGGGTGTGCCAGGCGTGACCCTGGTACGCTGACTCTTCACACAGTCATGCGGTCATGCGCGGGTGGGCGTGCCAGGTGTGACCCTGGTACGCTGAGTCTTCACATGGTCATGCACAGGTGGGCGTGCCAGGCGTGACCCCGGCACGCTGACTCTTCACACGATCGTGCGCGGGTGGGTGGGTGTGCCATTTGTGACCCCGGCACGCTGACTCTTCACACGGTCATGCGGTCATGTGCGGGTGGGCGTGCCAGGCGTGACCCTGGTACACTGACTCTTCACACAGTCGTGCGTGGGTGGGCGTGCCAGGCGTGACCCCGGCACACTGACTCTTCACACGGTTGTGTGCGGGTGGGTGTGCCAGGCGTGACCCCGGCACGCTGACTCTTCACACGGTTGTGCGTGGGTGGGTGTGCCAGGCGTGACCCCGGCATGCTGACTCTTCACACGGTCGTGCACAGGTGGGCGTGCCAGGTGTGACCCTGGTACACTGACTCTTCACACAGTCGTGCGCGGGTGGGCGTGCCAGGTGTGACCCCGGCACGCTGACTCTTCACACGGTCATGCGGTCATGCGCGGGTGGGCGTGCCAGGCGTGACCCTGGCACTACGTGTGTCACTCCAGTGCAGCCAGGCTGGCACAGGACAGCTCTGCTCTGCCACCGAGCGCCTGGTGCTGGCGTGCGCTTCGGTGCCGCCTCAGGCCTGTGCAGGACCGTCTTGCTGCTGCTCACCTTCAAGGTGTGAATTTTCCCGGAAAACCTGTGTCTCAGGCCATCTTGCCTGTGTGCAGCCCCCGGAGGGTGCAGGGACCAGGACAGCGTCTGCCAGCCCTGGCAGCGGCCGTCCATCTGCAGTTGAGCAGGGGTGACCGTGTGCAATGTGGGCTCCGGGAGCTGCCCGCCTGTGCCGCGTCCACACTGCACTCTGGCACACACCCTGGACGGACTGGGACGTGCAGGCGCAGGGAGGTTGGGTGGGCCGGGTGCTGAGCTGCGTCTCCGTCCACTGGGACATGCAGGGAGGCTGGGTGGCGGGTGCTGAGCTGCAGGGAGGCTGGGTGCAGCTGCTGAGCTGCGTCTCCGTCCACTGGGACGTGCAGGGTGCGGGGTGCTGAGCTGCAGGGAGGCTGGGTGCGGGGTGCTGAGCTGCGTCTCTGTCCACTGGGACGTGCAGGGAGGCTGGGTGGCGGGTGCTGAGCTGCAGGGAGGCTGGGGGCAGGTGCTGAGCTGCGTCTCCGTCCACTGGGACGTGCAGGGTGGCGGGTGCTGAGCTGCAGGGAGGCTGGGTGCGGGGTGCTGAGCTGCAGGGAGGCTGGGTGCGGGGTGCTGAGCTGTAGGGAGGCTGGGTGCGGGTGCTGAGCTGCAGGGAGGTTGGGTGCGGGGTGCTGAGCTGCAGGGAGGCTGGGTGCGGGGAGCTGAGCTGCAGGGAGGCGGGGTGCAGGTGCTGAGCTGCGTCTCCGTCCACTGGGACGTGCAGGGAGGCGGGGTGCGGGGTGCTGAGCTGCAGGGAGGCTGGGTGCAGGTGCTGAGCTGCCTCTCCGTCCACTGGGACGTGCAGGGTGCGGGGTGCTGAGCTGCAGGGAGGCTGGGTGTGGGTGCTGAGCTGCAGGGAGGCTGGGTGCAGGTGCTGAGCTGCGTCTCCGTCCACTGGGACGTGCAGGGAGGCGGGGTGCGGGTGCTGAGCTGCAGGGAGGCAGGGTGGCGGGGTGCTGAGCTGCAGGGAGGCAGGGTGGCGGGGTGCTGAGCTGCAGGGAGGCGGGGTGGCGGGGTGCTGAGCTGCAGGGAGGCAGGGTGCGGGGTGCTGAGCTGCAGGGAGGCTGGGTGCGGGTGCTGAGCTGCAGGGAGGCAGGGTGGCGGGGTGCTGAGCTGCAGGGAGGCTGGGTGCGGGTGCTGAGCTGCAGGGAGGCGGGGTGCGGGTGCTGAGCTGCGTCTCTGTCCACTGGGACGTGCAGGGAGGCTGGGTGCGGGTGCTGAGCTGCATCTCTGTCCACTGGGACGTGCAGGGAGGCTGGGTGCGGGGTGCTGAGCTGCGTCTCCGTCCACTGGGACGTGCACTGAGGCTGGGTGGCGGGTGCTGAGCTGCAGGGAGGCTGGGTGCAGGTGCTGAGCTGCGTCTCCGTCCACTGGGACGTGCACTGAGGCTGGGTGGCGGGTGCTGAGCTGCAGGGAGGCTGGGTGCAGGTGCTGAGCTGCGTCTCCGTCCACTGGGACGTGCAGGGTGCGGGGTGCTGAGCTGCAGGGAGGCTGGGTGCGGGGTGCTGAGCTGCAGGGAGGCTGGGTGCGGGTGCTGAGCTGCAGGGAGGTTGGGTGCGGGGTACTGAGCTGCAGGGAGGCTGGGTGCGGGGTGCTAAGCTGCAGGGAGGCAGGGTGGCGGGGTGCTGAGCTGCAGGGAGGCGGGGTGCGGGGTGCTGAGCTGCAGGGAGGCGGGGTGCGGGTGCTGAGCTGCAGGGAGGCGGGGTGCGGGTGCTGAGCTGCAGGGAGGCGGGGTGCGGATGCTGAGCTGCAGGGAGGCGGGGTGCGCGGGTGCTGAGCTGCAGGGAGGCTGGGTGCGGGTGCTGAGCTGCAGGGAGGCTGGGTGCGGGTGCTGAGCTGCAGGGAGGCGGGGTGCGGGTGCTGAGCTGCAGTGAGGCGGGGTGCGGGTGCTGAGCTGCAGGGAGGCTGGGTGCGGGTGCTGAGCTGCAGGGAGGCAGGGTGGCGGGGTGCTGAGCTGCAGGGAGGCGGGGCGCGCGGGTGCTGAGCTGCAGGGAGGCGGGGCGCGCGGGTGCTGAGCTGCAGGGAGGCGGGGCGCGCGGGTGCTGAGCTGCAGGGAGGCGGGGTGCGGGTTCTGAGCTGCAGGGAGGCGGGGTGCGGGTGCTGAGCTGCAGGGAGGCGGGGTACGGGTGCTGAGCTGCAGGGAGGCAGGGTGGCGGGATGCTGAGCTGCAGGGAGGCGGGGTGCGGGTGCTGAGCTGCAGGGAGGCGGGGTGCGGGTGCTGAGCTGCAGGGAGGCTGGGTGCGGGTGCTGAGCTGCAGGGAGGCTGGGTGCGCGTGCTGAGCTGCAGGGAGGTTGGGTGCGGGGTGCTGAGCTGCAGGGAGGCGGGGTGCGGGTGCTGAGCTGCAGGGAGGCTGGGTGCGGGTGCTTAGCTGCAGGGAGGCTGGGTGCGGGTGCTGAGCTGCAGGGAGGCGGGGTGCGGGTGCTGAGCTGCAGGGAGGCGGGGTGCGGGTGCTGAGCTGCAGGGAGGCTGGGTGCGGGTGCTGAGCTGCAGGGAGGCAGGGTGGCGGGGTGCTGAGCTGCAGGGAGGCTGGGTGCGGGTGCTGAGCTGCAGGGAGGCTGGGTGCGGGTGCTGAGCTGCGTCTCTGTCCACTGGGACGTGCAGGGAGGCTGGGTGCGGGTGCTGAGCTGCATCTCTGTCCACTGGGACGTGCAGGGAGGCTGGGTGCGGGTGCTGAGCTGCGTCTCCGTCCACTGGGACGTGCACTGAGGCTGGGTGGCGGGTGCTGAGCTGCAGGGAGGCTGGGTGTGGGGTGCTGAGCTGCGTCTCCGTCCACTGGGACGTGCAGGGTGTGGGGTGCTGAGCTGCAGGGAGGCTGGGTGCGGGGTGCTGAGCTGCAGGGAGGCTGGGTGTGGGTGCTGAGCTGCAGGGAGGTTGGGTGCGGGGTGCTGAGCTGCAGGGAGGCTGGGTGCGGGGTGCTGAGCTGCGTCTCCGTCCACTGGGACGTGCAGGGTGCGGGATGCTGAGCTGCAGGGAGGCGGGGTGCGGGTGCTGAGCTGCAGGGAGGCTGGGTGCGGGTGCTGAGCTGCAGGGAGGCGGGTGCGGGTGCTGAGCTGCAGGGAGGCTGGGTGCGGGTGCTGAGCTGCAGGGAGGCAGGGTGGCGGGGTGCTGAGCTGCAGGGAGGCTGGGTGCGGGTGCTGAGCTGTAGGGAGGCGGGGTGCGGGTGCTCAGCTGCAGGGAGGCGGGGTGCGGGTGCTGAGCTGCAGGGAGGCGGGGTGCGGGTGCTGAGCTGCAGGGAGGCGGGGTGCTGAGCTGCAGGGAGGCGGGGTGTGGGGTGCTGAGCTGCGTCTCTGTCCACTGGGATGTGCAGGGAGGCGGGGTGCAGGTGTTTAGCTGCTGGGAGGCTGGGTGCGGTGTGCTGAGCTGCAGGGAGGCGGGGTGCGGGGTGCTGAGCTGCAGGGAGGCGGGGTATGGGTGCTGAGCTGCAGGGAGGCTGGGTGCGGGGTGCTGAGCTGCAGGGAGGCTGGGTGCGGGGTGCTGAGCTGCGTCTCTGTCCACTGGGACGTGCAGGGAGGCTGGGTGCGGGTGCTGAGCTGCAGGGAGGCTGGGTGCAGGTGCTGAGCTGCAGGGAGGCGGGGTGCGGGTGCTGAGCTGTAGGGAGGCGGGGTGCTGGGTGCTGAGCTGCAGGGAGGCGGGGTGCGGGTGCTGAGCTGTAGGGAGGCGGGGTGCGGGTTCTGAGCTGCAGGGAGGCGGGGTGCGGGTGCTGAGCTGCAGGGAGGCGGGGTGCGGGGTGCTGAGCTGCGTCTCTGTCCACTGGAACGTGCAGGGTGCGGGTGCTGAGCTGCAGGGAGGCTGGGTGCGGGTGCTGAGCTGCGTCTCCGTCCACTGGGACGTGCAGGGAGGCTGGGTGCGGGTGCTGAGCTGCATCTCTGTCCACTGGGACGTGCAGGGAGGCTGGGTGTGGGGTGCTGAGCTGCGTCTCTGTCCACTGGGATGTGCAGGGAGGCGGGGTGCGGGTGCTGAGCTGCTGGGAGGCTGGGTGCGGTGTGCTGAGCTGCAGGGAGGCGGGGTGCGGGGTGCTGAGCTGCGTCTCTGTCCACTGGAACGTGCAGGGAGGCGGGGTGTGGGTGCTGAGCTGCAGGGAGGCTGGGTGCGGGGTGCTGAGCTGCAGGGAGGCGGGGTGCGCGGGTGCTGAGCTGCAGGGAGGCGGGGTGCGCGGGTGCTGAGCTGCAGGGAGGCTGGGTGCGGGTGCTGAGCTGCAGGGAGGCGGGGTGCGGGTGCTGAGCTGCAGGGAGGCGGGGTGCGGGTGCTGAGCTGCAGGGAGGCTGGTTGCGGGGTGCTGAGCTGCAGGGAGGCGGGGTGCGGGGTGCTGAGCTGCAGGGAGGCTGGGTGTGGGTGCTGAGCTGCAGGGAGGTTGGGTGCGGGGTGCTGAGCTGCAGGGAGGCTGGGTGCGGGGTGCTGAGCTGCGTCTCCGTCCACTGGGACGTGCAGGGTGCGGGATGCTGAGCTGCAGGGAGGCGGGGTGCGGGTGCTGAGCTGCAGGGAGGCGGGGTGCGGGTGCTGAGCTGCAGGGAGGCGGGGTGCGGGTGCTGAGCTGCAGGGAGGCGGGGTGCGGGTGCTGAGCTGCGTCTCCGTCCACTGTCTCCTCAGGGACTTCAAGAGCAAGAATGTACTGCTGAAGAGCGACCTCACGGCCGTGCTGGCCGACTTCGGCCTGGCCGTTCGGTTTGAGCCGGGAAAACCCCCAGGGGATACACATGGGCAGGTAAGAGGCCGCGGGCTGGGGGAGGGAACAGGCAGGGGTCCACCTGATGAGGTGTGGGAGCGAGGGCCACCGTGTGCATCAGCTGTGTGGAGACTCGGCAACAGTGCTTCTGCCAGTGGGGAACAAGGCCTGGCTGCTGGCGCGGCTCCTGCGGGCCGAGAAAGGTGGAGATTCGCCTCGGCCACGGCATCCCACCCTTTGCCCCTCAGTTGCCGTCACTAAATAAGATGAAGCAGAAAAGCTAGCAAATTGCCCTGACGGTCATTGTTCCCACTTCTCGGTGGTCTCATCTCCGTGAAATGCACGGCTCTGTGCAGCAATGTGGCAGTGCTGTAGCGGGTTGTGGCGGTTCCAGTGTGTTCGTTCCTGATTCGGTCTGACCACAGTGCCGTCTCCTACATGGGAGCAGGCACCCAGGCACTTGAGCCGTCTCTGGCTGCCTTCCAGAGTGCACAGCAGGAAGCTGGGGTCAGGAGTGGAGCCGACTTGAACGCAGGCCCTCCCGTGTGGGCTGCGGGCATCCTACAGTGGTTTCATTACCACACTGAATCCCTGCTCCTTCTTATTTCTTTAAAAAATCAGCTGGATTTCTTTTTCTTTATTTTGTCAATCTGAAGAACAGAGACTGGGGCTGGCACTGTGGGATAGCAGGTAAAGCCACTGCCTGCAGTGCTGGCATCCCATATGGGTGCCGGATCAAGACCCAGCTATTCCACTTCCGATCTAGCTCCCTGCTGTGGCCTGGGAAAGTAGTGGAAGATGTTCCAATTCCTTGGGCCCCTGTACCCGTGTGCAAGACCTGGAAGAAGCTCCTGGCTCCTGGCTTCGGATTGGTGCAGCTCTGGCTGTTGTAGCCAGTCGGGGAGTGAACCAGCGGATGGAAGACTGTCTCTCTCCCTCTCTCTCTCTGCCTTGCCTTCTCTCTCTGTGTAACTCTGACTTTCAAGTAAATAAATAAATTAAAAAAAAAAGAAAAAAAGAAAAACACAGAGACAGATAAAGAGAGATCTCCCATCCACTGCCGAGATGTGTACCACAGCTAGGGCTGGACCAGGCCTGAGCCAGGAGCTGGGAACTTGATCCAGGTCTCCCATCTGGGTGGCAGGGGCCCAAGTTCTGGAGGCATTACTTGCTGCCTCCCAGGGTGTGCACAGGGAGCTGGACTTGGGAGCAGAGCTGGATCTGTACCCCGGCACCGGAAACGGGACATGGGCTTCGCCAGCTGCCTCGTAACCATGACGAATGCCTGTTGTCTTGAATGTGAGACATTCTTTTTTTTTTTTTCTTTATTTTTTGACAGGCAGAGTGGACAGTGAGAGACAGAGACAGAGAGAAAGGTCTTCCTTTGCCGTTGGTTCACCCTCCAATGGCCGCTGCGGCCAGCGCGTTGCGGCCGGCGCCCTGCGCTGATCTGATGGCAGGAGCCAGGTACTTATCCTGGTCTCCCATGGGGTGCAGGGCCCAAGCACCTGGGCCATCCTCCACTGCATTCCCGGGCCACAGCAGAGAGCTGGCCTGGATGAGGGGCAACCAGGACAGAATCCGGCGCCTCGACCAGGACTAGAACCCCGTGTGCCGGCGCCACAGGCGGAGGATTAGCTTAGTGAGCCACGGCGCCACGGCTGAGTGTGAGACATTCTTAAGTGCAGTTCCTACTGGGGCGTTGGGCCGCTGTGCTGTGGGCGGGTGTGGTGTGTTGAGGCAGCCGTTGGTATCTGCTCTGAGTGCCAGGGTCTTGCCCCCGCCCGAAGCGCATGTCCGTCACTGTGGACCCTGCCCCCTGTCCTCATGTGAAGGTGGGCACGAGACGGTACATGGCCCCTGAGGTGCTGGAGGGAGCCATCAACTTCCAGAGAGACGCCTTCCTGCGCATCGACATGTACGCCATGGGGCTGGTGCTGTGGGAGCTGGTGTCCCGCTGCAAGGCTGCCGACGGTGAGTGGGCGGGGGAGCCCGGGGCTGCCGGCCGGGCCGGGGCGCGGGGCCTCGGGGGATCCCACCAGCGTGCTCTCCCGCCAGGACCTGTGGACGAGTACATGCTGCCCTTCGAGGAGGAGATCGGCCAGCACCCCTCCCTGGAGGAGCTGCAGGAGGTGGTTGTGCACAAGAAGATGAGGCCCGCCATTAAGGATCACTGGCTGAAGCACCCGGTGAGGGCCCGGGAGGGGCCCTCCACGTGGGGCAGAGGGAGAGGCAGGAAGGTGTCTCCCTCCTGTTCCTGTTGTGGACCCTGGTGGGATTTGGGCTGCCACTGTCAGGGCAGGCCGCCGTGTCCACCCAGGAGAGGCCTGGTCTCCCCTTCTCCTCCCTGTGTTGAGGTCCAGCCTGCCCTGGGCTGTGCAGGGAGGCCAGGGGGCTCAGGGTGGGGCCTGCCGTTTCTGCAGCCGCTGACCAGTGACTTGCGCCGGTGGCTGCGGGCTCTGCTGGTGCTCGGGGTCATCCCCCCGCACGGGACCTGACGGGGCCTTCCCCTCTCCCCCGCCGCGTGCAGGGCCTGGCCCAGCTCTGTGTGACCATCGAGGAGTGCTGGGACCACGACGCGGAGGCGCGCCTGTCTGCGGGCTGCGTGGAGGAGCGGGTGTCCCTGATGCGCAGGTCCGTCAACGGCACTACCTCGGACTGCCTCGTCTCCCTGGTGACCTCCGTCACCAACGTGGACCTGCCTCCGAAAGAGTCGAGCATCTGAGCCCGGGCGCGGGTGGCGCGAAGAGGAAAGGAAGAGACGTTGTGTTTTGTTTTGGAAATCCCATAAAACCAACACACACGAGATGCAGCTGCTATTTCCCTTGACTTTTTATTATTGTTATATTATTATAATTATTATTATTAATGTTATTTTTGGATTGGATCAGTTTTTACCAGCATCTTGCTCTACTGTACGCACGCAGCGGACACGTCACACGTCAGCAGGCGCATGGAGGTGCTGAGCTGTGGATGCAGAGCCAGCGCCCTGCTGAGGAGCCTCGGCCGCCGCCTGTCCCGCTCCCGTCTGGGTCTCAGAATCTGTGACACAGACACCCAGCTCCTGTCTTAGGAAATCTAATGCTGCAAACTCTACCTAGAGGACCTTGAAGACTGTTACATAAGCGCACCCCTCCTCCGGGGCGGAGGGCCCGTGCCCCGCCCCGCCCCGGCCTGCCCTGCCCTGCCCGGTTCGGTTCGGTTTCTCCCTCCTGAGACGTGAGCTTCAGAAAGCAGCCGTGTCTGCCCTGGATCTCACGGCGGGGGGTGCTGACCGTGGGAACACTGGCACGAGGACGCGGCTGGCGGGAGGCCCGTGTGGGGGTGGGGTTGGCACAGAGCTACACTGGACTCGGGCACACAGCAGCGACCCTGCTGCGGAGGCTACTTCTCAGGTAACCAGGGACCGAGGGCGAGGACGGCCAGGCGGGCTCGGGGCGGCTCTGGGGGCAGGGCCAGCTCCTCCCTGCTGGCGGCCGCCCAGTGTCCTCCCACTCGCTGGGGCTGGGCCGGAGCGCGGGACAGTGTTCCTGCCCTGACTGAAGTGGGCGAGGGTAGGAATGATCCGACAGGTGATGCGTTCTTCCCCCGGCGGACCGGTCAGGGAGACGCCCGGGGCGTCCTGGGAGCTGGGGCGGGCGCTGTCCCGCCGCTCTGCCTGTGCCCCTTGCTGGCTCGTGGACACAGCTTTCTCCAGACCCCTGCAAGTGGTGCATACACTGAGAACTGTTTCCTGTTCGCCATAACCTTGCTGTAGTCAGTGAGCGTCCCTAATGCTGCTGCTCCAACAGTGGACTTTCCTAATTTATGAAACACGCTGATTTTTTCCCAACAAGGCACATGCATCCACATGTACACACATGCTTCGCTGTGTGGCTTCCGAGGGTTACATTTTGAAAAGTAAAAGAATTAGAACTTCACGACCACAGACCACCTCAAACCAGAAATACCTCAGAATTTTCTACTTGTGTAAGTTTTATTATCTATTTTGTTAGTTGTGTTGTTCTGTAGTGAGTATATTTTAATGTAAGTTGGGTTGTACGATAAGGAAGTTTAAAAGAAATAGAGAAAAAGAAAAAAAAAGCAGTTTGTGTGTTGTAGGGGCGCCGCGGCCCTGTGCGCACGTCCCGCGGCGGGCGGCGCCGCGTCCTCCGCGAAGCTTCCTTCCACTGCGTTTAGACGGTTTTCTTGACAACAGCGCATCTCCTCGTGGCGGCAGGCGAGCTGCTGGGAGAAGCTGACGTGGGCTACAGCCGCACAGGCCACCGGGGAGCCAAGTCGCCCCCTGGGGCCTGCCCTCCGGCTTGTGAGGGAAGGCTGCGTGGCACCTCTGTGGCCTGGCTCTGGGCCCCGGCGCCGGGCCCTCTCCCCTGGGGGGCTTGGGCACAGGGTGCCGGGCGAGGCCCCGCCCTCCCTCTCCAGTGCCGGCTGCGGGGCGGGTGCTGTGTTTGGTCTTGGTAAGCCTTGCCTCCCTTCCTGTGCAGCCTGAGTTTGTGCCCCGAGACTTCTTTCTGACGGCAGAACCGGCCTTACGGCAGTTGCTTTTCCTCCCCGCCCGTTTCTTTAAGAAGCTTTAAGATATTTATTGAGAAGTGCCATATCTGATTTCTTTAGCTTTCTCCTCCGGCAGTGTGGGGCTTCTCTCTCCGCACTCTGGAAGCAGCCAGCAGACCCCGACACACGTAGCTCATTGCTGCGAGCGTCGCGTCGGCAGATGGCGGACCCCCCCCCCCCCCCCCACGCCGGCTCTTCTCTGGGTGGCTTCTCTTGCGTGCTCCCTCGGTCCTTGTGGGCACGGAGGGCCTGGGGAGGAGGGAGAGGCTGGGACCTGCCCCTTCCTTGGCCGCCTTGCCCTGTACTCCCCTCAGGTGGAGCCCCTGGGGGCTCTCCTTCCAGGGCGGGGCACTGCCCCAGGTAAGGGGTTTGTCTGTCTGCTGCCTTGTGCTCTTTGAAGAGGGGGCCGTCTAGACCTGGGCTCGCGGCCTCTGCCAGTGCCCTGGGCCTCCCTGCCACCCCTGCCAGCAGCCTGGAGCATTGCCGCCCGCGGCCGTGTGCGCTGGGCCGGGTGGAGGCACCAGGGGCGCTTGCTTGCTGCTTCCTTTTCAGGGTGCGGTGGTCTGAGGTGGGCCTCAGGGGCAGAGGTTTTGCTGAAAACATCCTTGATGCCCAGCAGGGGAAGTCCAGGAGTGAGCGGGGAGGAAGCGAGGGAGGACGCGGCCCACGGCTGTCATCAGAGCACCCTGGGCTGGCAGGAGCTGGCTTTCTCCTGGCTCAGGGGGACAAAGGGCACCTGGCTGTGAGGGCAGGCGCTGGGCGTCACCACCCTGCGTGGCCCGGCGTGGCGGCCTCATCCTGTGGCTGTGCTGGGAGAGGCCTGGCCCTGAGCGCCCACCGCCGCTGCTTCTGCCGCCCCCTTGGCCTTGGCGTCTGTGCGGAGCAAGGACGCCATCGGCCGTGAACATCTTAGGCCTGCCCGCGCCTCTTCCCACCTGTGCTCAGCAGAGAAAGGTGCTTGTGTGTAGGCTGTGAAGGGGGCCCTTCTGTCGCTGGGGGTGAGCCAGCCGTCTTCACCTGGCTTCGGCAGAAAAAGCCAAGCCGGACCCGGGGCTCTGCCTTTGCCTTTCTCCCTGGCCGGCCGGTTCTCGTTCTGTCTGCGTGCTGCTGTGTTCTGGGTGCCAGGCTGGGAGGCTTTCCCTGGGGCAGGGCAGTGTCCTGTCGAATGTCCTCGTGCACTGTGTGTGGTCCGGAAAGCCTTGAAGGGAGGGGGTGGCCGTCCCATTCGGGGGGGGGGGGGGCAGAATTTTGTCCTCTTCAGAGTGTGCTGTGAAGTTCCCAGCACACACAGGTGACACGAGGATCTGCCTCTGTGTGGTTTTTCATAATGTGAGTGTGGAAGGTTCAGAGTTGGTACTGAAGTGGAAGAGCCCATCAGTACGCTGGGGCATTTGGCTCACTGGAAAAATACCTAAACTGAAGAGGAGTTCCGGAGTGAAGGGAGGGTGCTCTTCGGGCCTGCTGGGTTCCCTACGGCCAGGCCCGGGCTCAGACGTCAGAGGCATCAGGCCCGCGCCTCTGAGTGCGCTGCACCAGCTCGCCCGCGGCTCTTGTCCTTGCCCTGGCGAGAGCTAAGCAGTGACGGTCCACAGCCGGCACACTCAGCCTGGTGGTGGCGGGCTTTCCAGCTCAGTCCACACTGTGGTTAGATGAGCAGGCCCCGTGATGGGGAGGGGGAACTGTGCACCTGCCAGTGCTTGATTCATTCAGGGTTAACCATAGCTCTTTCCGGCTCCCGGTGATGGGTTCGTAACCAGCAGTCTACCTGTGAATGTATCCCAAACCTTAGCAGGCTTGAAATGGCTTTTTAGATAATGTAGTTTTTAGGAGAAGGAAATTGAAGTTTCAAATACCGCCTTTGGAAATCAGTTCGGTTGTAGTAGTTCCGGGGTCCAGAAGGCCCACAGACTTGACAAATAGAAGTCCAAATTAGCTGGTGGATGTCCTGAATGTTCCAGCTGGACGTTCGGCTCCATTGTAAGCTTTGGTCCAGGGAAGAATTTCCATTTGAAGAATTTGCCACTGTCAGCTTACTAGATTTCCAGTCACGACTGTATCTTCCAGGTGTGAATGCAGCGAGACCTAACTGTGCTCCTGCGAGTATTACCCCTGTTGTGCCAGACTGCACGCTTGGTTTGCGCCATGGAAGCCGTGGAGGCGTGAGAACAGAACGCCGCATTTTCCGTGTGCTTGCGTGTCGGGGTCTCACCTGCTCCGCTCTGGGGCCCGGGCGTGCGGAGAGGACACTGAAGCAGCTGCCCGTGGCCGCGTGTGTGTGCAGTGGGTCACGCAGGCCTGGGCTGATCTGGACCCCGCAGGAGAGTGTGAACATGGATTGGCAAAGTCTGCGTTGTGAAGCTCACAGGGAAAGGGGCCCATTAGTTCGTTCCTCAGGCGGGTGGGGCTGGGGTGCTCTGCGAGTGGGCGAGTTCCGTCTTGGGTCCGGGAAAGTCTGCTGGCTGGGGACAGGCCCTCTCCGACTCCTAACCCCGCTGCATTGGAATGTCGTTAGGTAGCATTGTAAATAAAAGAATAGGTTATATAATAGAGATATGACACTTGGAGTTTTACTTTAAGAGAATCTATAGCTCTACATATATATTTAGTTATATCACCTGACAGATTTCTTCTACGCCGTGTGCAGATTGTTTTATACCACAGATTATTTTTATAAAGTCTAGCGAGTTTGAGTGATGTTGTGAGCAGAGCTAGTGAGCTTTACCTTTGAGATCAGTGCACACTGGAGCGCGTGTGCTGTGGACGCACGTGGTGCCCTGCAGAGCCGAGTCCCCGGGCAGCGGTCCTCTGGCCGGACGGGGAGGGGCCCCAGGGGCTCTCCTGAGAGGTCTGTGGAAGAGGATTCTGAGGCAAAGAACTGAGCTCCTGCCACTGACGTGGGCCGGGCCCGGGAGCAGACACTGGGGGCGGGGGTGGGGGGCTAGGGGAGGCCCCAGGAGCTGGGAGGTGGGGTGGGCGGCTTAGTGATCTGCCAGGTCGACTCGCCCAGAGCCAGCAGGTGCCGCTGAGCAGCTGCCTGGAAAGGAGTGGGGGTCGTGTGGCGTAGCGACCCACTTGACCGGCCGCCGCTGGAGCTTTCTGTCTTCCCTGGCCAGGGCTCTCCGCCCTGCAGCTGGCCGGGAGCCCCGGGGGCAGCGGCGCAGCCTTGGCGTGTCTGATGGGGCTCCGCCGTGCCCGCAGAGCCCAGCCCCACTGCCGCAGCCTGCAGGGCCAGCTTCACCTTCGCCTCCCTGTGGTTGAGCCCGGTGCTTAGTGCCCTGGCCGGGGGCTCTGGGCGGGCTGGAAGGGAGGGACACTTAAGCGAAGCAGCAGCAGCGCCGAGGCCCCCGGCAGGCCTGGCCCCAGACCCCGCCTGCTGCTTCCGGAGGCGTGCCGGCCGGGGCTTTGCCGAGAGAATCCTGGCGTGCCGTTTGAACCAGTTCTTGCACCTCTCCCCTTTGGTACTGAGAGTCAGTTTCGTTCCTGCAGACCTAGTAGCGCTCGAGGACAAGCCTCCGTGGGCGGGCTCGGTGTCTCCCAGGCGCCCGTCTTGGAGGAGAGTTCCGTTGTGCCTTGGTCCGCATCCCCTCCTTGCCCCGCAAGCAGCTGCTGTAAGCGTTCCGGTCTTCTGAGCCCCCTCCCTCCTGCTGGCCCGGCTGCGGCCCAGGTACTCTAGAACCAGTTACCTCAGCCCTCGCGTCGCACAGTGCCGCCGGCGGGGCCTCGCGGCCCTGCAGACTGACCGTGGTGCGGAGCCCTGCCGGGCGTGGGGCGTGGGGCGGGGGCTCTTCCCAGGGAGGCGCCGTGCCGGGGGCTCTGCTCAGTGTTCGGCCGCAGCAGGCAGCGCTCAGAGACCGCGGGAGAACATTCCCTTCAATGGCAGGACGCCCACCCGCCGCCCACCCCGGTGCGCTCTGGGAGGACGTCTGTGGCGCACGTTGCTGTGAAAGTAGGCCTTGCGGGAAGTGGCTGTTTGTCACTTTGATGTATTTTAAATAAATAAATCAGTCTATATTTTTAAAGAGCCTTTTTTTTTCTTTTTTTTTTCTTTTTTTTTTTTACCAGTTTGAAAAGCTTCATTAACCAGCAGTCACCACATCTGAATTTTCTGTCTCTGGGGCGTAGTGGCCGGCCAAGCGTTAGCCACGGTAGCTCAGCTGCAGGTGAGGCTCCCTGCCTGGGCTGGCCTGCCGTCGCGTGTTCCCGGTGGGCCCCGGCACAGCCCCGGCCTGCGGGCTGCAAGTGCTTTAGCCCGAGTGGGGGTTTCCCTGAGCACTGCCACGAGTTACGTGTCTGTCTCCATAAGGGAAGGACGCA